TCTTCTCTTCTGTCTCCAGCTCAGTTCCCTTCTCTTCTTTTTCAGGAGGGGGTTCTGTGCATGACTCAAACACGGATCTAAGTCCCTGCAGAGCTCTGGGAGCAGCTCTGGGAGCAGCTCTGGGAGCAGCTCTGGGAGCAGCTCTGGGAGCAGCTCTGGGAGCAGGAGAGCCTCTTTGTCCGAGAATGGATCAACACCAAGTCATTCTCCATGTGGCTGCTGAAGAACCTCAGGAGGCTCCTGACGACCCAGAAACCCTCGGAGTGCTTTAAGTCCACATGACGAGCTGAGCTGGACCCGGGACCGGATGGAGCCACAGACTCAGACCAACACGTTGACAAACAGCAGAACATCATGTTTCATGACTGGTTGGACTGGTTCGAGACGGAACCTGACGTCATGGTTAATACCCGAGGACTCCCTTGGGGGGTCCGGTCTGGAAAAGTCCGGGTGACGGGGTTTGATGGAGGCTTACCTTCAGCCGGCAGCAGCGGGTCACAGGCCGCGCGCCGCCGCTGCTCCCTCTCCTCCTCCGGGAGGACAGAAAGGAGGTCTGCAGCTCCTCGACTCGGGTCTCTGATCCCGGTCCTCCGCTGAAACCCGGAGCGGGGTCCTCCGCTGCTGGACGAGGCTAAAAGCAGAGATCCCGGTAATAATGGCTGTCCTCCTCCTCCTCCTCCTGCAGCTCTCCTCCCCCACCTCCTCCTCCCCTCCTGCTCCTCTCTCTCTCCGGCTCTTCAGAGTCTGACGGGACTGGACCCTGACACCCCCCTTCAGTTTGTGGACCGTTCAGGGTCGGATCTGCAGCACATATGTGCAGATTTCATCATTTGCATCACGTGACTCCATAATCTGAGGCTCTCGGACTCGCACGCGCTCGCCCCGCAGCTGGGTGGAGCTGAGGGAGCAGCTGATTTCAGCTGGAGGACAAAAAGTTATTTCTGTTGGTGCAGCCGCTCCCAGTCTGATCCCAGTCCGCACAAAACCAGCAGTGAGAGGACTGGGCAGAGGCTCACCGGTCTGTCACAAACTGTGTCTGAAAATAAAGTTCCCAACAGGAAACTGGGAAGAATTTGAATCTCCCTCCAACTCATCTTCAGATTAGAAGAATGTGTAGAAATGCTGACTCGAGCCAGTGTTGGAGAGTTTCAGCTCCTTTCACTCTGACATGTTGGTTCTCAACCGGAAAAAGGTTGTTGCTGAGTCTCAGTTCGGAGGTCATCCATGGGTCAGGATCAGGGCCTGGTCTGCAGTAATGAGGGTGTTGCTCCAGTCTGCTGTGGCTGAAAAGCAAAGCTCTCGGTTTACTGGTCCATCTACAATCCATCAGTGGTCATGAGGTTTGGATGAGGACTAAAAGAACCAGATCTTGTATTCAAACGGCCAAATTGAGCTTCCTCGTTGGGTTGGTTGGGCTCAGCCCTCAAGAAAAGATAAGGAGCTCCATCATAAGGGGAGCTCAGAGTAGAGTCGCTGCTCCTCCTCATAGAAAGGAGTCCGCTGAGGTTCTTCAGACATTTGTTTAAGACGCCTCCTCCTAGAGGTTTTCTGGAGCTGACCCACTGAGAGGAGACCCTCGGGCAGACCCAGAACTTGTTGGAAGGACTATTTATCCTCTCTGGTCTGGAAACAACTTAAGATCCTCCAGGAGGAGCTGGAGAGATACAACCTAATCGAAGAACACGGACCTTTAATTTATCACGTAACCTGAGAAAATGTTGCCAATTCTGTTAGAAAGAAACTGGGAGATTACGAGACTGTGGGTTTAATTGACATGCATAACTGAGTATCATCTGCATAAAATGAAAATTCACAATGTGGTCTTGAACAAACTGTCCAAAAAGTAGCATAGAAATGAAGAACAAAGGGATACCAAGCACTGATCCCTGTGGTACACCACAAGTCAGATCAGCTGTTGAGGTAAAGTTCGGCGAGGACCTGAACGTAAAGAGACAGGCAGGATCTACGAGATCGATAAACTAGAAACGCCGATGTGAAGGGAGCGATGAACATAAAGAACAGGTGTGAGGATTTTAAATCCAGACCAGGTGTGGCTAAAGAGGACGACAGGAAGTGACATCACAAACAAAGCTATCAACAATTAAAAATTCAGAGATAGACAGTAGTGAGTCAAGTCCTATCTAGGATGCAGTCAAACATTTACCGTACGGTACTGTGCAAATAAACAACTTTTGAGGACAATGTTTTGACTCTAATTTACTATGAAGTCTTTAGAGATAGTACTGATTTTAAAAATCTTTAAAAAGCAACAAAATTAACAACAATTAAAAATTCAGAGATATGAGAGCAATAAGAGTCAAGTCCTACCTTGGATGCAGTCAAACATTTACCGTACGGTACTGTGCAAATGTCCTAAAACAACTTTTTAGGACAATGTTTTGAGTCTAATTTACTATGTAGTCTTTAGTGATAGTACTGATTTTAAAAATCTTTAAAAAGCAACAAAACTCAAAGCTAAATTATTACAAATTAAAGTGAGAAACAAATTGAAACCCATAATGAACTCACCTAAATTATTTAGGACTTCATCTGTGTAAAAAAACGAGCTAGAACTCACGAGGTCAACAATTAACAGTAAATTTAAGTTTAAGCCGAAACATTTGAGAATTTAAAACCTGACGCAAACCCATCTTTTATTATTTTACAAGACGAACACGGATTTATTGTGAATATTTGTTAAGAATATGGACAACGTCAGAGACAATGAAACTGAAAGCTTATATCACTCAAATAAAATGTTAATATTTTATAGTGTGGAAAAATGAACATTTGTTTCAAAAACAATTTCAAATTGGTCCAACTTCACCGGTGATCCTGATCAGATCTGTCGCTCTTAAATCTAAATGTTGTTTTTATTCTCACGGGTTTCAGTTTGTGAACAGTTCTGGATGTTTTTAACGCTCAGCAGGACTTTAAATTAAATTAAATTAAATTAAATTAAATTAAATTAAATTAAACAGGACACCTGTTTGCCTGTTTCTCCTCAGAGAAGAGCTGAACTCTTCAGGAGTTTTCTGTGATCGTAGCTCCATCTTGTGGATCCCAGAAACCTGCCTGAGAGGCTGTTATTGATTATCAATTCTATTTACAACCATGTGTAGTCAAAGCAGTCGAGCCGACCCGAGGGCTTTCCTCTGTAATCCAACAGTGTTCATGAAACAGAGCTTCAGCACGAGTTACTCGTGTTTCTGAGGATGTTAACATGTTCACGTGTTTTCACTTCACTCCAACCTCATCTGCTCAGCTGGTAAAACTTTGGTCCAGTACCTGCTCCTTGGATCTCATTCCCTCTCCTCTCATCAAACGTGGTCTCCTCGTCGTCTCTTTTCTGATCACAAGAATCATCAGCTCCTCTGGATCTGTTCCACGGTCTCTCAAGTTGGCAGCCATCACCCCAGTACTAAAAAACCGGTTTTGACCCTGATAACTTCATAAGCTTCCGGCCCGTTCCAATCTTCCCTTTCTGTCTAAAATCTTAGAGCGAGTTATAGCTGATCAACTTCAGACCCACTTCAAATCCAGTTGCTTGTTTGAACCATTCCAGTCTGGTTTCCGTCCAAAACACAGCCCTGAAAAAGGTCTTCTCAAAGTTACCAACGATCTTGTCCCTTCCTCTGGTTCTGGCCAGCTCAGTCTCCTCGTCCTTCTGGACCTCGCCGCAGTGTTGACACCTTCAGTCATTCCATCCTCATGTCCCGTCTCAAGTCCAACTTGAACATCACTGGCTCCACTCTGTCCTGGTTTCAGTAGACCACCAACACTTTACATCAACTGCTGCTGCTCCTCCGTAACCCCTCTATCCCAGGGTGTTCCCCAAGTTTCAGTGCTTGGTCCTCTCCTTTTCATCCTCTACATCCTCCCACTTTGTAATATCATCCGTCGTCATGGCCTCAATTTCCACTGCTACGCTGACGACATACAGATTTACATTTCTACTACATCCACACACCCCAACATCCACTGCACTCTTTTATTGATCGACATCAAAATCTGGATGAACCGATTTTCTCAAATTAAATACTGACACTCGTCATTGGTCCAGTGTTACCAAGTCCACTCCAAACTTCTGCCTCAGCTTTGACATCACTCACTCCATCCCCACTCATTCGTATCTTTATTCTTCTCGGCTCCACTCTTTCATTTCAACACACGTCAGATAACTGGACTGCTTTAAAACACGGCACGACTCCGCCCTTCACTTTCTCCAGTGCTACCATGCTTTTGTCACATCCACTATTGCAACTTTGTACGGTACACCACCCAAAACTCTCAACAACAAACTGCAATATATTCAAAACTCTGCTGCCCACCTTCTCACCACCTGCTCCCATCCTGTCCTGCAGAAACTCCACTGGCTCCTCGTCACTCAGCACGTCCATTTCAAGATCCTCATCACGGTCAAAGCCCTCCATAATCTGGCCCCTCCACGCCTGCTCCATCACTACACTCCTTCTCGTTCCCTCCGCTCCTCCCTCGCCAACCTTCTGTCTCCCCCCTGTAGGACCAAGCTCTGAACCTGGGGAGGCAGAACCTTCTCCATCGCTGCCCCAACAGCTTCGTGTCTGCTCCCATCTCCCCACATTTAAGAACTCCAAACCCACCTGTTTAAAATTGCTCTTAATGTTTAAATTTGACCTTTTGATACGTTTTAATTTGTGATGCGTTGTTAACTGTATATTTTTGAACACCTGTAAAGCGTTGAGTGTTTAGAAAAGTGCTATACAAATAAAATGTTTTATTATTCATTTCCTGTTGCCGTCAAGAACATTTAGCAGCAGATGTAAAAAGTAAAGTGTAAAAGGAACAAAACAGATGTTTCTTTGTTGTCGTTACTCATGAAGTGAAGCAGAAAATGAAATTAAACTCAGTCGATTTCGAGAACAGCAGCTCATGGAAACGTATAAAAGTTAATTCTTTACAACAAACTTCAAGTAAACTTGGACTCTTTGTATTTATGTAGAAAAAAACAGAACATAACGTCAGAAGATGAACGTATTTATTTGAAAACGAGTACAGGAAGTGGTGAAGAGTGGGACACGATGATGGGGGGTGCGGTGTTAGCGGCTCCTTCAGGGCGAGGTTGAGCCCTTCCCCATGTGGTGCGGCGGCGGCGTGTACTTTCCCTCCTTTATCAGCTTGTCACGCTGCGCACGGATGGCTTTCAACCTCTGAAACTGCAGAGACAAACACAGGATAAAGATATTTTTAATCATTTATGAAAAGCCTTTTCACGGTGTGAAGGTGCCGCAAACCAGAAATACCCGACAAACATCTCGAACTCCACAAACCAAGAGGTCCACGTCAGCTTTAGAACATCTGTCTCAAAGTTTATGACAAAAGTCAAATTCAACAACGCGCGGTCTGGACTCGGTCTGGACTCGGCCCGGGCCTCGGTCGTCTCATAATTAAACATGGCTGCCCACAAACGTTTGAAAAACTGAAAACTTTTTTTCATAAAACCTGAACTGATGAACGAAACACTAAAAACGAGGCAGCAGATGCGTTTCCTCTTCCTGTGACTCAGCAGGAACATGTATTTTCTATATTATAAAGAATAAACATAAATTAATCTCAGTTCTCCTAGAATATTAGAGATTATTTAACTCATTTAGGACAGTGTTGTTTTTAAAAAGGTCTTAATCGCTGCAGCCGCTCGCTCACCGTCTTGTTCCGTTCCATGCACTCGTAGAAATCCTCCCACTCCAACCGGCACTCCTTCTTGGCCCGGGTCTGCCCGATGCCATGAGCGCAGTCGATCCACTCCTTCTCGAAGGCGTGGCAGCGCGAAGGGTGCCTGTGGAGATCGTCGGCACTCTGCACCAGGAGCCACTTGTCAACGTCGAGGCCCAGCCACCCGAACAGGTCCAGGAACGGCATGGTGCTGGAGACGATCGCAGCAGCAATTCATTCATCACCATTCACAACTCATGGGACGGTTACAAAGTATTTACATTTAAAATACAACCCAAAACAAGACGAGCATAAACTAAACTGACTAAAAGACACATCTGAGACTTTTCAGCTCCTTTCAGTGACGGGAACTTCAGCAAACGCAGCTCCAGAGACTAATGTCACATGATTCATTTAAAAATGTCACTTTGTTTTTTACATTACGTTAAGCTAAGTGTTATAAACACAACCGTTGGTGCAAACAGGGCTTGACTGGAAGATTTTATTGTTAATAGGTTCTTAAAAACGTTACAGAAGTTGTTAATAGTAAAAGGCATATTTTGAACGAATGTTACAAATGTGTTCGTTTCTACAAAACAGTTAATAAAATATTTCTAAAATACACTGAATTTCAAATGTTACCGACTGAGATTAACGTAAAAGAACTGGTAATTTATGTTTAAATGTCAGTTTTCTGCTGTAGTAACTCATCCATTATGTCCTCTTTGTTCGGGACTGGAACCAGTCTGCTGCTTTTGGGTGAAGGCAGGGGACACCCAGGACACGTCTCCAGTCTGTCCCAGAGACGGACAGAGACAAACAGCCACCCACACTCCCAGTCACAGCTAGAAACTATTTACAGTCGCACAGAAGAGCCAATGATGGGATTCAAACTGAGGACTCAAGTTCTCGATTGAGAGTCCTAATCACTACTTATCAATAATAACTGATCATGTTTACCAAGCTAAACCCTTACTGATAATCGCTGTGGGGAGTTATTAATACAGATCAGATTGATCCGGCAGTCATGTATGTAAACCTGGATGTAAATGCTTTATACTATAATTAAAGGTGAGCCGTGCACCTTGTTTGTGTGAAACAAGTAGCCCTGCGTGTCACTTGGTTCCACTGAAGCAGCTCAGTCTCTAAAAGGCTCGTGAGCCCTGGTTCCAAACATCACCTTTTGTTTTTACCTGCCAACAAAGCTGCCCAAACGAGCCTGGTCTCACTGACTTATTGATTATTATATTAACAGATAAATGTGGAGATAGCCACGTGTCCCTAAAACACAGAACTGTCCTGTTTTAAACCAAAATGAGACTAAATGAGTCCCGTATTTCCGAGCTGCCTTGAAGGCATCATTAGTTTACAGTATTTAAAACAGCTTCAACGATTCTGATCCGAGGCGGAGAGGACAGGTGCCCGCCTCGTCCAGAGCCGAGACAAACGGACAAGAGTGGGACGGCCCAAACCGTCAAATGTCAGTAAAAGTCTTCTGAGTTGGACCTTGGCCCAACAGCTTCAGGTGAACCAACTCCTGGTTCTGTCAGAGGAACCAAAGTCCTGCATGGGTTCTTTGTAGCCCAAACATCTCCTAAATGTCAGCTTTTACATCTCCTCTGGTTTTCTGATTTCCACATTAGATTTTTACAAGTTATCAACTTCAGATCTTTGATGTTTGTCTGTCTCTGTCATGAACTGTTATGAAACCTAATAATGTTGGACGCAGGAGCCCTTGCCTTCTCCCACTCCGCTCCCGTTTCCTGGAATATGATGCAAAAAGATTTGAAGCTCTCGACCTTTGACCTCTCCGAGTGGCTTTAAACATCTGGTAAGGTCCTCAATGCAGGCATGTTCCTGTTTTTAGTTTTCTACATTGCCTTGCAACCTACCTGTTGGTTTCATTTTAATACCATTTTCTTTCACTTGTCCTTCTCAGTTTGTGCGCTTCCTTTACAACTGTCTGCTGTTGTCGTGTCGGCCTTCAGCTCCACGCCTCCCTTGCAAAACACATCTCTGTGATCTCAGTGGGACTTGCCTGGTTAAATAACGGTTAATAATAATAAATCACTCTTTGTTAAATCAGGTCTCTCTTGTAAATGAGTCCCCGAGGCTCAATGGGATTAACCTGTAGAAATACAACTTGAAAGAATTTACTTAGTACACAAATCCCTGAAAAGGGGCAGAATGTGTATTAATACACTGTCCTCGTTAAAAATAAGGGAATCAGCAGTGATGCATTATTGAAAAAACACAGTTTATCTTAAGAAATAAACTAATTATAAACGGAAAGAAATTGTAGGAATAAACAAATATGCAATAATACTGAGCCTTTAGATACTTTACGGTATATCACTGATATATAAAGCGCATTTAAATGGATCTAAAATGCATAATATTGAATAAAATGGTAACAGCACGTATTTAGTTGGGCTGACGAGTTTTGTTTGTTTACAAGATGATCTCTGACATTCGATTAACAAAAACTAAACACGGAGATCTGTCTATCTGTTTCAGAGCAGATAAATGTTTTGTTATTTCATTATTCTTTTTTATTTTTCGAGTTGTCAACAGCATCTGACGGAAGGTCGGAGGTTTTTCAGCTGATGATAAAGTCAGGCCGCGGGAGGGGGCTGGACAAGATGGCGGGTTGAGCGGCCGTGTTTTCTAGAGCTCGCAGCGCAAGTCCTAAATTTATCTTGTCTTTTTAAGTTAACTCTCCACCTAATCTAACAAAATGGCTTCCCAAAACATTAATAAGGCACTCAAGCCTAAAGTTGACTCGAAAAAGAAAGAAGCAGCTTCTAATAAAGACCACGGCTATAGCATGGATACCTCCACTCAAAATAAAAGGGAACGAGGCGACTCTGCGCCCCCAACCCCAAGCAAGACAGCAGGAGAAAAGAGACTCAAGTCAGGTGAAGATGACGAAGCGGAGGAAATCTCTCTCAGAGACATAATGAAAGGTATTGTGACGCTCGGAGAGAAAGTGGACAATATTGAACAACAGGTGACACACAGCAGTGTTATGCTTGCTAGCCTAGCCAAAGCGGTGGAATTTAATGCTAATGAAGTTAAGGAGTGCAAGGCAAAGGTTAAAGAGCTGGAAAAGCAAGGTAAAAAACTGCAAGAGGAGAATGCTGATCTTAAAAAGAGACTCAGAGAACAGGAAAGATATGGAATGAGATGGAGCCTTCGCATAAAAGGCTTGAAGGAGGAGAAAGATGAGGACATCAGGGCTGTGGTCCTACAGACTCTGAAGCACATCGTTCCTGATTCTGTGTCAAGGCTGGAGCAGGAAGTGGATGTTGTACACCGACTGGGACGGAAGATAGACAACAAACACAGAAATGTCATTGTGATGTTCACACGAAGAGTAATGAAGGAAGAAGTCTGGAGGAAGACCAAAACATCCACTTACTGCAGAGAGATGGGCATCAAGTTTGCTGAAATGCTACCCAAAGAAGACTGGGAGGAGAGAAATCGTCTGTGGCCACTTATTGATCAAGCTAGGAAAGCAGGAAAGGTGGCCTATTTTCGTGGCCCCTTTGGTTATATTGATGGGCGCCAAATCAGAATGGAAGGTAACGCAGACTAAATAAGATGGAGATGTAGATCTTGATAAAGGACTTGCAACTGCAACGCTTCATTTTAAGTTTTTCTACTTACTGAATATCATTTCTTGGTATTCAGTTTAACAGAGTTCTTTTAGCTTTTCTATTCTAGGATCTTTTTTGTTGTTTTTAATGTTAAATGAGAACATTTCATTTGGTTCACTCAATGTTAGAGGTTTAAAAGACATTGTTAAAAGGAAAGCATTATTTTTGTTCTCAAAAGGACAGAAGTCAAACTGTTTTTTATTTCAAGAGACTCACTCTTCAAGTACAGATGAAACTTTTTGGGCTAACCAATGGGGTGACAGGATTTTATTTAGCCATGGTACAAACCGAACTGGTGGTGTTGCAATTTGTTTTAAAAAATTTCCTGGGGAAATTCTGACACACAAAGGAGATACAAATGGACATTGGTTAACAGTGGTGACTAGAATTGATCAGTTAGTCCTCATAATAGTTAATGTTTATGGCTTTAATAATGACATTTTAAACCGAACTCTATTGGAAGAGTTGTCTCAAGTTATACTGGAATTTAAAACTCGGTACCTCACTGACCATGTTATTCTAGGAGGGGATTGGAATATGACTTCAAATGAATGGCGGGACAGGTGTCCTCCAAGATTAGGCAGACAACAATATAATGCTCTGATAAATACTTTTATGACAGATAACAACCTAACTGATGTGTGGAGAACACTGAACCCAGGGCGTACTGAATATTCATGGATAAAACCTAATGGGCAATGTAGGTCTAGACTAGACTACTGGTTAATAAGTGATTACCTGTTAGCATGCACCACAGATTCTGCTATTTCTAAGGCGCCACTGACTGACCATTGCTATGTAAGCTTAATGATGGGACCTAGTATAAAGACAAAGAGACATAAAGGCTATTGGAAATTTAATGCCAGCTTATTAGACAATGAGGAATATTGTACTAGGATTAAAAAAATTATTAAGCAAGTTGAAGCTGATCACTCAATTATAGATGATATAAATAAGTGGGAATTCTTAAAATACAAAATACGATTGGATACAATATATTTCAGCAAAGAACTTAGGAAAAAAGAAAAACAATATGAATGTGATTTATTCAGAGAAATTAATCAAATATGTAACTCTTCTGATTCAAATAGTCCATTATTAATTGAATTACAAACGAAATTAGATGCTCTATATCTGCGAAGGGCAAAGGGTGCTTATATCAGGTCGAGGGCAAGATGGATGGAAGATGGAGAAAAAAATTCTTCATATTTTAGTCGTTTAGAAAAAAGTAGACAACAAAGGAACTCTATAACAACTTTATTGATCGATGATGAAGAATGCAATGACAATAAGATTATAGGAAAAGAAGTTTTTGAATTTTTTTCTAATTTGTATTCCACCAACTTTTCTATAGATGACTCCAATTGCCTTTTTGAGAAAATCCAAAACAAGATTCCACAAATTGAAGAGTCATTTAAAATTTTGTGTGAGTCAGAAATTAGACCAGAGGAACTAGAGACTATGGTCTTTAAAATGCACTTAAATAAATCACCAGGTACTGATGGTCTCACAACCAATTTTTATCGATTTTTTTGGAATGATATTAAAAATCTTCTATTTAGGGCTATAAATGCATGCATAATGAGAAAGATGTTAACTCCTAGTATGAAAGAAGGTTTAATTTCTCTAATTCCCAAATCTGGTAAAGATAAACGATTAATAAATAATCTTAGACCAATTACTTTGCTAAACACAGACTATAAAATTCTCTCTGGGGTTGTTGCTGCAAGATTAAAAGAAGGGATCTCAACAATAATTAGCGAAACACAATCTGGGTTTTTAAAAGGTCGATCAATACACAATAATATTCGACTTGTGTTAGATCTGCTTGACTATAGTGACTTGTTTAATGAAGGGGGTTTTATATTATTCTTAGACTTTTACAAAGCTTTTGACTGTGTTGAACACCCTTTTATAATGCAGACTCTGGCCTGTTTTGGTTTTGGACAAAATTTTCTTAACGTTGTGGGAATGCTTTATAATGACATTAACAGCTCAGTCTCTCTGAATTACGGTACCAGCCCTAGATTCAAGGTTAAAAGAGGTATAAGACAAGGTTGTCCCTCGTCCCCTTTACTGTTTATTATGGTAGCTGAAGTGTTATCAGTTTTAATCAAGACTAGTAACATTGAAGGCATTAACATATTTGGAAAACATATAATAATAAGTCAGTTGGCTGACGACACAACTTTGTTTTTAAAGAGCAGCAGTCAAATCCCATTAGTGTTACAAACTATAGATTGTTTCTCTAAAGCCTCCGGTTTGCAATTAAATATAGATAAATGTGAAATTCTAACCATTCAGGAATTTCCTTTGCAAACACTGTATAATATAAAAGTAAGCAAAGAGGTGAAATATTTAGGAATATTGATCTGTAAAGATAAAGCGGTGTCTGAGAAGAATAATATTCATAATAACATTGAAAAATATCAATCAATTTTAAGTAGATGGATTCCAAGGGACATTACCATCTTTGGAAGAATCCTCCTAACCAAAATGGATGGCTTATCCAGGCTGATCTATCCAGCGTATTCTCTGTCTGTCCCGCCTGATACTGTCAAAGCCATAAACAGAATCAACTTTAATTTTGTATGGAAAAACAAATGTCATTATATTAGAAAAGAAGATATGGTCAAAAACTATGAGGAAGGTGGTGGTAATGTAATCGATTTTAACTCCATGAACGGTGTTCTAAAACTTAATTGGCTGAAATCATTTTATAACCATTCACAGTCTTTCTGGTTTGTGATTCCTAATTTTGTTTTTCAAACTGTAGGTGGAATTGATTTTCTCTTGAGATGCGACTTCGACTATAATAAGTTACCCATCAAACTGTCAGACTTTCATCAACAAGTCCTGCTCTATTGGAAACTCCTGTACAAACATAATTTCACACCCCATAATACTCCGGTCTGGAACAACAGGTATATATTGTTGAATAGAAAATCAGTATTTTTAGAAAACTTATATTTGAAGGGCATTTGGGCCGTTTCACATTTCATGGATGACAGTGGTGTTATATTATCGTTCGAAGAATTTTGTTTGAAGTTCAATCTTGCTTTTGATGTCAAGATTTATAATAAGATGATAAAAGCAATTCCAGCAGCTCTGAAATCAATGGTTAAAGAAGATGTGTGTCATTCCAAAACTTCCCCTGTTCTGAGTCAACTGTATATAGAAGATATAGAATTTAAAGATAAGAAATTGACAAATAAGTTGACTCGGAGAATTTTACAAAAGGAATTGTACCCTGGTCAGGTTAAACGGCAGTATATTCTTAAAGATTATAGATTAGATGTAATCTCTAAAATTAGAACAAAATATATTTCTTTTCCCCTTCCTCCAAAAGTAAAGGAAGTCCATTTTAAAATTCTAAACAGTATCTACCCAACTAACGCATTTTTAAAGATTAGATTTAAATTTGACACTGCTGGGTGCTCATTCTGCCACGATGAAGATGAAGTTCTGGATCATCTTTTCTTCCAGTGTTGTGTCACACAAGACTTTTGGAGCAGAATGTGGGGTTGGCTCCAGGACCAAGGAGTTGAACTGCCAGCTTTGAGTCTAACAATAATCAAATTTGGTATATATTTTCAAAACTCCAAAACAGAATTTTTAATCAATAATTTAGTTTTATTGGGAAAGTTTTTTGTTCATAAATGCAGATTTTTTAAAGTTAACCCAAATTTAAGTCATTGGAAAAATTTCCTATTTTGTTTTCGTGAGTCTTTAAATTTAGTTAAAAGTAAATCTGCCCAACAACTTTGTAGTTTGATTAACAACTTTGATTTGGCTTAAACCTCGGTGTTTGTTTCATGTTCATTCTTTGTTTATTTTGTTTTGTTGTTTGTTTGTTTTGGGGGTTTTTTTTTTTGCTTTGAGTGCATGCAATTCAACCTGTGAAAACTGAGTTTTGTGCTGATGTTGTTGCCTTGTTTTGTTTGTAAACTGATGTTTCAAATAAAGTTTATAAAAAAAAAAAAAAAAAAAAAAAAAAAAAAAAAAAAAAAAAAAAAAAAGTCAGGCCGCGGGCAGCTCACTACATTTACAGAAACAACGTAAATCAACCGTGGAGTTTACTCGTTGTAAAGCGTTTTAAGTCGAATATAAATATTCAAAACATGAAAAACGTTATTTTTTTTGTTACCTGGTTATGTATTTTTCCTCTCAAGTCGCTTTAACCTTCCTCGAGCACCGTCACTCTTTGCGACAGAAGGAAAACGCGGTCGTGCCGTAAAGCAACCGTTTCCGGAAGTCGTTTAATAAGCTCAAAGGAGCAGCAGCGCCCTCCTGCGGCTCCGGTGTGTACAACGGGCGATAAGGCAGTTCAACAAAAATGTCCTTTACCAGTTCAGTTTAATTCATTTTATTATGTAGCACCAAATCACAACAGAAGTCGTCTCAGGGCACTGCACCGAAACATTCGCATACATAAAAAGTCAGTTAATAACGTTATTTATCTAAGGAGCCAGCAGATTGCTTTGAGTTTTCACTTTGTCGCAGTCTCCAGTCCTAAGCAAGCACAGAGGAAACAGTGGGAAGGAAAAACTCCCTCATGAGGAAGAAACCTCCAGCAGAACCAGGCTCAGGACAAGCGGTCCTCTACTTCGACCATCTGGGTTTGAGAGGACAGGAAGGAGAAAACAGACACATAATGGCAGGTCCAGGATGAAGGACGTCAGGGTTTTCCTCTAAGAGGAAAGATAAAAAGACCGAAATCACATGTTAAGAAAGAATAATTACAAATATAAACTATTCATTTGTATGCATTTGTAACTGTTCATTTGGTGAAATTAGGTCAATTTGTCCTCCAGTAGTCTAAGGTTATAGCAGCATAGGATAAGGAATAGGAAACCCAAGTCAACCCTAACTATAGGATTAATCAAAAAGGAAAGTCTTCAAACTGGACAATGTGTCAGCCTCATGGACAGAAACTGGAAGTTGGTTCCACAAGAGAGGAGCCTAAGAACTGGAAGATCTTCCTCCCATTCTGCTTTTGGAAACTCTAGGAACCACAAGTAAACCTGCAGTCTAAGAGTGAAGTGCACTGTTAGGAAAATATGGAACAATAAGATCTGTAATATAAGATGGAGCTAGGTTGTTGAGAGCTTTGTACCACGCTTTGTCTGGTAAAACTTACTGCCATCTTATGTTTTACCAGCTGTTTTCTACTGTGTCACATTATATTAAAATAGTACCTGCCTGGGCATGTACAAATATACAACCCTGGTACTTACTGGATACATATTTGGATACTTACAGGGTACATACAGGCATTTTTCACGTATGTACCTGGATACTTGTTGGGTATGAACCTGATACTTACTTCAACTATTGTTAACTTTGTTGTTCCTAAATGGGGACATTTGTCCTCTGTATTTTCCCATCACACATGAGGAGCAGGGGGCTGTCATCTAATGCTGGAGGGTGAAGGCCTTGCCCATTGAAGGTGGAGGCAGATGTGGCTGCTTCACTTTTCAAACTCTAATTTTATGTGCTGGTCTGGGAATTATGAACAGGCGACTTCCTGATCACAGGCTCGCTTTATCTGACCTCTGTGCAACATCCTCCCAAATACTGCAAACATACTTGAGGCTTACAGGGTACTGCAAACATACTTGAGACTTACAGGTACAGACTTGGTACTTACTAGATATCTATCTTATACTTACAGGTATGTACTGGGTACTTACAGATACAATCATACTCAAGCACTGACAAGACAATTACTGGGTGTGTACCTTGGACTTTCCTTATTCTTACAGGGTACACATCTGGATTTTACTGGGTGTATGTGCACGGTACTGGGTACAAACCTGGATATTTACTGTGTACTTTAGGGTACTTGCCAGGTATATTCTCTGTAATAACCTGGTACGTCTATGGCATCAAGTATGTACCCTGTAAGTACCAGACAGCATTAAGTATCTCTCCTAACTTTTATACTTAAAATACATGAAAATAAATATGAAACAGTGTTTTGGTGAGTGTTGTAGGAGTTGTGGTCTTGTCCCTGATGTCGTGTTTATGTCTGTTTCCCCTGATCCTGTTTCTCTAGTATCTAGCCCCATCTTGTGTCATGTTCATGTCTTGCATCCTTTCTCTGGCATCTGTGATTATCCACAGGTGTCATCACTTGGTCTAATTGGTGTTTCCTGTATATAAACCTGTGTCTCTGTCCTGCTCCTGGCATTATCTGTTCACTGGTGATGACCTATCAGCTTGTCTGTTCTGTTAACAAATTCTTTATTCAACATATTTCTGAATCCTCGCCTGCACCACTGGGTTCCCCAGCACCACTGGGTTCCCCAGCACCAGCCAATTGTGGCAAATGGTGGGAGTTTAACTTCATGCCTTCAGCTGATCTGCGGACACGACTGACAACAAACCAGATTTGGTGCAACATCAGATTGTGTTTTATTAATTTTCTCAAAAAGCTCCACGAGTCAAGTCTCAGTCCTGCCAGAACCGGCCCTCATCAGGTCGGGTCTTTAACAATGACAGGAACAACATAAACTGTATTATCAGAATCTTAACACTTAAATATTGCCGTTTATAAACCGTTTCAAATAAAAGACCGATGCGCTTGTGTTCCTAACACTCATCCAGACTCTTTCAGGGAGTCCCGGTACTCGTCTGTGGTACATTCATGTGTTTTTGTAAAGATAAGAGGCAGAAACGCGTGACGACAGGAAAAACATCACGTAAGCAGTGAAATCCATAAAGCTACTCCGAGACGAGAGAAGGTTCCCAAACGGATCCGTTACAGGAACACCTGGTGGGAAAACCTTCAACAGAAGCACAGAGGTGATCCAAAGCTCCGAAACGTCAGGCTCTGACGGAGAAAAGCTTGTTGGCGTCAGCGTTTGTCTCCAAAACACTATTTCTCAAAGTGATACTGGCTTTTACAAACGGCACAACACAAAGTTTATAAAAACAAATACAAAACAATAAATTATGTATAGTTCTTGCATCACAGCGTCAATAAAAACAAGTTAAATGTCACCAAAGTCAAAAACACTGAGTAAGTTGACAAAGGTTTAAAAAAAATGTTTTGGAGGCAAACCTTTAGTTTTTTACATCCAACAAAAAAAGGCGGCTTTCTTTCGGTCGGACCACAGACTTTTACGCCACTCAAGTAAACTCGGTTACAGCGAGAGATGAGGGTTAGCAAAACAAAGTAAACATAAATAAGATCAAGTCAGATAAAGTGCACAAGTGCTCAGTCGGAAACAAACAAACAAATACATTCATCAGGTTTTCATCCCCTCACAGCTAAATGTGACGTCACAAACAGAAACCACCACAACCAGTCGGGGTGGGGGTGCTGGTCAGCGAGTGTCATTAAGGCCGGCAGGCTGTCCAGCACCAGTCGGGTCACATGACTCATCTGAAACAAACAGGAAGAGTTCTGATGATGGACAAATGAGATGCGCACATTTTTTGTATACGTTGAAATATTCATAATAAATAATAATTTAGTTTTCAGGGGAAGATTTACAGTTTTATTAAAAACTTAATGTGTTATTGAATATTTATCGTGATATTACTAAATATCACGATATACTGAGTCGGCGATAATTGATTAAATGAAAATAGTAAACTATCCTAAAATGATGGAGAACAATAACTAACTTTAAATATTAAATATGGTCGTGTGAAGCCCCCGAATATCAAGTCTTTTTTTTTTTTTTGCTTAATAAATTATTGATATTTGATACGGATTATATTGCACAAAAAAAACAATATTAATGTGTCGCTCCATCCTAAAATGATACAACAAAAATTTTAACTAAGAATATTAAATGAAACCAAACACAGCCATTGAAAAAAGAAAAAGAAGAAACATATGTTAAAGGTGCATATTTAAAAAAAATAAAACTTTCTAATTTAGTACCAATGTATCAAATATTGTATCATAAAAAGAACAATATCAATATATTGCTCAATCAATAATTTGTTTTGGAACTGGTCAACTTTGAGTTTATCAAGGTACAACACACTTCTATTCACCTAAAATTACAAATTGTGTATAAAAATTATCCACAAATTACTGTATTCAGATTTTAAAATCCTAATTGGATGATATTCCACAAATATTGTGATACATCATTTTAGGAATAGTAGGAAAATTGAAATTTATAGACGATCCTAAAATAATAGATTGCAAAAATCAAACTATGAATGTAAATTAGGATAAATGAAGCATTAACAGAGATTATCATCATTGTATGTTTTTATGCAGTGTCTCTGCATCTGGCCCAGCGCGGGTGGGGTGCGCTCGGGTGGGGTGCGCTCGGGTGGGGTGCGCTCGGGTGGGG